CAGCACAGCTCTGCCACTCGGGATTTTCTGAGCGCCTTCCCCACCCACCATCGAGCTTAAAAAGAAAAAATACTTCAGAAAACATTTGAATATTATTTGCATAGCGCATCCGAAAAGTTCGGTGTTCCTGAAAGTGAAGTGAAAGCCAGAAGTGCCCCCTCCCCCAAGAAAAAGGAATTCAAGTTACTGCTTTACCCTTCCAGCCATAAAATCCCACTTAACTTGAAATACACACAATCAGAAGGAACTTCGACAACAGCCCACCACTGTGTGATGTTAAACTGATCCTAAAACTCAGCACAGCGAGTTCAGGTGCAGCACCTGCTGGGGTCTGAACACAGCTCCACCAGAGTCAGCATCTATCTGGACTCCTCCATGTCAGCATCCCTGGCAGCTGAGGAAATATTCTCACACTTTGGGATGAAACATCTCAAAAAAAAAAAAAGCATTAACAAGTCAAGCAGGACTTGAAAGCAACTTCAAACCACACAGCAGCAGGGATATTATTCTATGAAGCTACAGAGTTGAATTACTTGCACCTTACTCATCTCACTGCTTTGAATTTGTCAGACACCTCTGCAGGCAGAATGACAGCGCAGAGCCTCGGCGCTCCTGCAGGACTCACATCGGGCCCCACAACTGAAACTTAAGCAGATAAATTTCACCGCATGCACACAAAGTTGCAATTGTTCAAACGCAGGGTCCATTATTTCAAGCAGTGCCCGACTTCCAGCGCAAGTCACCAGAAGGAACGTAACTGTAGCACAGAAAAGAGAAAGGAGGGGTAACAAAACAAAGGCACAGCTGAAAGCGACCTGAATAGAGGCAGCAGTTCGGCACCTCAAGTGTCAGCACAGAGAAGGCATCAAGAGACCGAAGGCTGCTTCAGCCTCACAACCTGACGGGGACGGGGCTGCAGGCACACAGCAGCAGGTCTGTGCCATGCAGCCTGTCACCATGCATCACAGGGAGCCACCCCACACCTCAGCCCAGGGCTCTGCCCCTCAGTGCTCACACAGAGCCGTTCCACACCTTTAAGAGCCAACACCGCCTCATTCATCCGAGCCCCAGAGCCCTGCGCTCCTCTGCTGGCTCAGCACGGTGCATCGCTGACGAGACTCCTCCAAAGACTTTATCAAAACCCACAATCCGTGCCACTCACAGCGCCGACCCACAGCCTGGGTGCTGCCTTCAGCTGCGCATTGCAGCCAAGGGCAGGCAGGGCCCAGCCGGCTCCGGGCCAAGGCCGCTGCTCAGGGGCAAAGTGCGGCGTCACAGCTGCACCCACAGCCAGGGCAGCAGCGCAGGTAACTGAGCCCGAGGGCAGGGGCTGCGTCCTCAGAGCCGAACACGAAGGGGTCGCCAGCAGAGCCGTGCAGCCACACACGCACAGACGCCGCCTCCTACTTTAATTCAGATTAAGGCTGATCCTTTCTTTCCAATAATTGAGTTCAGCAAAGTATTTCTACACGTTGAGTCATAAGAAGATAGAGTTTTTAGGCTGTTGCCAGTGGTGGTTTTATCATTTTTTCTTCTTTAAATACTAACTGCAGTTCTGAGTCAGAACCCGACTGGCTCATCTGGGGAGTTTCGAAGCCGGTTTCCATTTATACAGCAGGCTTTAAAAGCCAACTTTCTGCCTCCTCATGCTGTGAGCAATGAGCACACAGCCGCCCCGGGAGGACACAGCTCACGGCCAACCACGCCAAGGAGCCACGGCCACCGCCCAGCAGGGGCCACCCCTGCCATGGCCCCACATGGTGACACCCCCACAGCAGCCACCTCCACCCTCCACCACCGTGTTACCTCCCCCCAACACGTGCCCCAAGCAGCAGACCCTGCAGACAGCGTTCCTTGCTTCAGAGCACCCCACAGTCGCCCTCAGCACTCCCCGCAGCCCCTGCCCCGTCCCCCCTCCCCGGGCCTCACAGGGCTGTCCCTCTATTACACAGAAAATCCTGCCCTCCGCCAAGCCCCATGAGAGCCACCACATCCCGGACACCCTTCCTCCCCAGCTCCACCCCCGGCCCGAAGGGAACCCCCAGCACCGCTCCCAGCTTTCTACTCTCCACATCCAGCTGGGATCCCGGAAAATCTCATCTTTTACAGCCCACCTCCAGGCCAAGCGCAGGACAGCCCCTTCCGCCACAGTCTGGGGGCTTCCCACCCCCTCCCAAACAAATCCTCACCCACCCGTGCACAAACATAACAATAACCACAGACCACCTTCTCTCGGGCACTGCTATCTCGAGCCAAGACCCCATTCACCAACACCCCCACCCCCTTCCCACTAACTGCCGCCCCGCACACACCGAGCACCCTGAGCCCAGGCCGTTACCCTTACGCAGACTCACAGATGAAGCGGGACCCCCCCGGCCGCTGACATCCCCGGGAAGGGGGGGGGGGGGGGGGGGGGCAGCACCGCACAGCACCACGTCCCACGGGCCGCCCTCCCCAGCCGTGCCCAGCTCCCGGCACCGCGAACCGCAGCAGCACCGCCGGGAGGAGCCGCACGGTACGGCGGAGGCCCGGGCCGGGCAGAGAAGCCCCGCGGCGGCCGCAGCCCTCGGAACGCCGAACCGCCCCGGCCGGGCGGGGTCCCGCGGCGCACAAAGGCCGCGCTACGCGAGGCCCCTGGCCGCCTCCGCCCCCCGAGCAGCCCCAGCGACCAGGGGCGCCCCGAGGAGCCCCCCGGCCCGCGGTCCCCCCCGGCCAGGCCCGCCCCGGGGCGGGTCTCGGTCCGCACGCGGCCTCCTCCTCACCCGCAGCCCCCCCAGCTCCTCACCCCGGGCATTGAGCGCGGCGCCGTTCTTCCGACCGGGCCCGGCGCCTCCCACACCGCGGGCCGGGGGGCGCGACGGGGGCAGGAAGGGGCGGCGGCGGCGGCGCGGAGCGGCGGGGCCCGGGACGGGGCTGGGCTGCGCGCGACCCGCTGCGGCCCGAGCGGCGAAGACACCCGAGAGCCCCCGCGCCGCCACAAGGCTCCCCGCGCACGGGCCGCTCCCTCCCCGCCCTGCCGCGTGGTTCGGCCCGCCCGGCGCTGATTGGCACGGCGCGCCGCACACCCGCGCCCGGCGTTGGTACGGTCTGCCCCCTCCCACCGCCCCTCCCGGTAGCGCTCACTCGGTGCCGTCGCGGGGGGGTCCCGCGCCCGCCCGGGCCGTGAGAGGAGCGCCGCCGAGCTCCATGCCGCGGGTCCGCGCAAGCCGAGCCCCTTCCCGTGCCTCGGGGAACCGCCGCTCCCATCCCTCCGCCGTCGGAACGCCGCGCACCCTCTCCGCTCGGTAGCCGGCGTTGGTACTGCCCGTTTCTCCCCCTGGGGCGTCGCTGCGGCCCGTCCAGGGCGGCCGAGCTGCGCGGGGCCGCCTTTGGAACGCCCCGCTTCCCCTCGCTGTACTTGGACCGGTCCTCCCGCACCACGTGCGGCGCGGCCTTTCACGCCGGCACCCCCCCGCGCCCAGGGGCGGTGGAACAGCCCTCCCCCCCCCGCCCGGTGGTTCTGTCCGCACGGTGGTTCCCACGGCTCCCGCGGCTCGGAGCCGCGACGGCACCTGGCAACAAGCACGGCGTTAACAATTAAAAAATGTCTAGAAAGCGTCTCAGCCTCGTGCAGCAACCCGGCATGGGTGCCTAAGCCTCGCTCACTGCGCTCCTATCGCCAGGAGGAACAGAAGCCACGCCACGAGCCCCGGCCCGGGGCAGGGATGCAGCCACGCGCCTCGTTACTTTGGGCCGGGTGCGACCACCCTGGAACGGGAACAAGAGCGCCTCTGTGCTCTGCCTGCAGGGAGCTCCAGCGGGGCCCCTCGCTGCCCTTCCGCCGCACGTCCATCTGCACATCGCACAACATCGAGCCTTCCAGCCCACCAGGCCCCTTCTGGAGCTAAACAAAAGCTTTTTATCAGAGAGCTCACTGATTAACACCCCGTTATCTCAGTAGCAGGGGGTAAGAGGGGCGGTGATCACATCCACACCAGCTACACTCTGCTCCTGGCAGAGGAGCAAACGCTGGGAGCAGGGATGGCAGCACGCCCAGCCCCAAAGCAGTCCAGCTCCTATCTTCAGCCAGAGAAAAGCCCATTGCTCCTCTGCCTGCCAGCCAGCGCTGTCTGGAAGAGCACCACATCCATTTTAACACCCGGGCGCTGTTTCAGTGGCATCTGGAGGCTCTGGCCAAGCCCAGGGCTGCACTGCGTTGTTCTGTAGGCTCCACAAGCTTGTAACAAAGGAACATCCCAGCTCCTCGGCACCCCAAGCAGATCAGACACCTCAACAGGGCACAGCACACCTCCCCCCAGCCCAAGAGGTGCTGAGCCACAGCTGATGGGCTCCGGCCGTCCTGCTCAGCCAGGAAAAAACGACCTGCCCTGGACAGAAGGTCAGTTTGCTGAAGAGTTTGAATTAATTGCTAAAACACTGATTTTATCACCAGGTATCAAACCCAGCCGCCCCCACACAGCCCAGACCAGCCCAGCCCGGCCCACCTGTCTTTTTCTTCTTGCTCCAGCAGTGGGCAGCGGCCAGCCCACACCAGGCAGCCGCCAATCGCTCGGAGCAGAGCCCCACAGCACAAACACACCAGGACCAGGCACCGCACGGCAGGGCCACGCACAGCCCAGGACCGGGCACCGCACCGCATGGCACCGCACCCATCAGACCGCAGCGGCCCTTCACACCTCCTCTCCAGAACTGCTCTGAGCGCATGCGCACAACCTCTCAAGTCTGGCGCCACAGAGCTGCGCGTGCGCACTCACGGCGAAGGGGGCGATAAGCCCCTCCTACGCACGTGCTCGTCTCCCTATCACATACTTAGCACTACGCATGCGCTCGAGCAGAACGTTTCTGTCTCCGCCCGCTCACGGCGTTACGCGCATGCGTACCGCGGGGCGGCGGGGCGGCGTGCCGCCAGGAGTGAGGCGGCGTGCCGGCGCAGGCGCAAAGCCGCGTGGGGTGGTCGCGCGGGAACCGCTGGGGAGGGGGTGGGGGGAGCGCTGTGAGGGATGGGGCGGTACTTCCGGCCCCTCACTTCCGGCCCCAGCGCTGCGGCGGTCGGTGTGGCAGCGCCGTTCGGGCCCGTTCCGCACCGCGCCCGCCCCTCCGCCCGCATGCAGCGCCGCGACGACCCCTCCGCCCGCATGGGCCGGGGTCCGGGGGGGCCCGGAGGCGCCCGCCAAGGGGGGCCCAATCAGCGGCGGTCGCCCCGAGGCGGGGGGGGCCGTGGGGCCGGGGCCCAGCAGCCGCAGCCGCTGCTGACCGGCGGAGCGGCCGCCGGCTCCTCGGGCGCGCAGGGCCCCGCCGCCGCCTCCCCTGCCCCGCTGCTGCCCGGGGGTGCCGGCAAGATGGAGCCCGAGAACAAATACCTGCCCGAGCTGATGGCTGAGAAGGACAGCCTGGACCCGTCCTTCACGCACGCCATGCAGCTCCTCAGCGCAGGTACCGCGCGGGGCTCGGCGGGGCGGGGCGGCCCGGCCCCGTTGCGGGGTGCCGAGGGCTGGGGTGGCTGTTTGTCGAACGGTGGGCTCGTGTTCGATGTGAGACACGGGGCGGGTGAAGCTCGGAGCTGAGGGTTCGTTTTAAAGCGGGACGTGGTGAGCCTGGCCGCTGTCAGCCCCGGGGATGAGGGGGTCCGCAGGGGGGGGGCGGTCCGAGCTGAGATTTCCATCAACCGCCGCTCGAGGTGCGTGCGTCGGGACTGCGAGCTCTGATTTTCCACTCGGGTAATCCGTAGAGAGCTCGTTTCGCTGCTGCTGAACCTCAATAGGGAATGGAAATGGCAGTCTTTGTTCTGTGCCCGGAGCAGCCTTCTCCTTCCTCGTCGCCGCTGTCCAATCGCCTGCCGCCTCTCATTCCTCCCCATCTCCCCGTGCAGCTGCTGCTCCGCGCCGTGCGGGGTGGGCTCAGCTGCCTCCGATACCTGGCAATAAAATCAGAGCCTTCAGCATTTAACTCAGACTCTTCAGCAAACTGACCTTCTGTGTCGGGAAGGTTGTTTTTCCCAGATAAGCAGGACAGCTGCTAAAAGCAGAGTTTCAACATTTCACGAGCTGCGGGGAGGTACCCTGCTGGGGTTGAGAGTATGGGCAGCATGACAGGTTGGAGTACTAATTGGGAATGCAGTCAACAGCCGTGTTTTTTGTAAAAAGAAAAAAAAAAAGTCTTGACAGCATAAGGGACCTGGCCTTTGTCACACCCAGCCTCTTGCCTGGATGGCATCTCCCAGTGGAACCCCACGGCCACCACAGACCCCTTTCCAAGAATGCCACGTTAACACAGCGCGTGCTTAACGTTAGGTTTTAATAAGCCACGTTGTGGTTATGTATCAATATTTACGTGCCTAAAATATGTCAGATCTGTGTGCTGAAGCTGCTGGATGTGCGCTCAGAGGTGCCGTCCTCCCTGCACCCAGCGCTGCACTACGGCGATGTCGGCTTGCTGACCTGCCCTGGGGTTGGCAACTTTCATTCCTGGATTTCAGTGACACCTGCAGACTCCAGAATCAGCTTAAAACAGGAACAGCTTAAAATATTGGCTGCCACTTTGAGCTTAATCCGCGTGCAGTGCCGAGCAGGTGGTGCCGGCACAGGGACACGGCAGACTGAAGCAGCACAGAGCTCCATGCTCTGCCGTCTGTCATTCCGCTCAGAAATGATTTTTTAAGGTCTTTTTACTGCTGTATATTGCTGTAGTTGTCGCAGCACTCAGGGCTTTTTTCATTCCTCCTTTAATGTGGGAAATAATTCTTAAGAATTGCTGTCTCCTGTTATGCAAATAGCTGAGGTACATCATCATGGGTAACTTGGCATCACTTGTGGACACCTCCATCTAAATAAATCAGTTTTATAATCCGATTTGCCATCAATTGAATGTTTTTCATTAATAAAAGCATTTGGCCAGCTGATGCTCGCAGCTCTGTGGCAATGCTTGCCAGCAACACGAAACCCAAGGATGGAGGAGTGTGCTGATTCCCAAAGAAAGAGCAGCATTCTCAGCCCGCTTCACACAGCTTTGTTTGCAGAGCGGTGTAACAAGGATTTATGAGTTTTTCTATTAATTTAAAATCTGCTACTGGTAAACTGCAGCTTTGTGAGGTGTCAGATTGGAGGAACGCCGGGTGCTTCCTGCTTGCTTTGGGTATTTTGAAAATCGGGGTTCTGGGGGAGCGTTCAGCAGCAAACCAAATTCAACCAGAGCAAGAAGCTGATGAAAGAGTTCCTGAAATAAAGTGCCTCAAAGCACAGCTTTGCACAGCTGGCCGACTGCTCCCCAACTCATCTGGAGTGCTCAGAATTTCTCCATTGCCATGGCAGCCCCTGGGGAAGTCATGTTGGAGGGCTTGCTGTAGAGCTTGCTTGGGAACTTGGGCCAGTGATTGTAGTGCATCCGTGCAGCACACCTGAAGCACGGTGGTTTTCAGATTCACAAAAAGGGTGATTATTGAATGTCAGCCCCATTCCTCCTCGTTTCAGGAGTGCAGGTTGCTTGTCCTGCCTCTTTCTGGAGGGAAACCACAGGGAGGTTTTTTGCATTGTAACTGAGACGTCTTGTTTAAAATAGTGTCTAAAAGTAGCCTTAAAGTACCTCTGTAATTCTGGAGCTGTTTAGTGTTTCTGAAGAAAAATCAGCATTGTTTGGGATCGAGATGAAAGGCCGTACAGTGACGTAATGCTGATTCTGAAACAATGCGCTGTGTGATACAACAGCACCAAAGTGGGTGGACTGTGGGATTCTGTTACACAGCACCCTGAACAGACGTTGCAAACTGGGATTCTTGCACCTTGGCATGAGGTTCCTCACTCCCACGGCTCAGGGTCTGCATGAGCTTCCTTTTCCATAGGAAGAAGGAAACCCCTTTTCTTGCTTCGATTTATGCTCTGCCTGCTGTGGGCGCAGGGCTGGAGGCGCTGTGAGGCGCAGCCCTGCTTCCATGCGCTGGGGAGTCGGGCGGCATCCCGTGCCGTGTCAGTCAGGTGGAGGTGTTCTGCAAGTTCTTGCTTTAATCTGAGCTTAACCTCCGAGCTTCCTGTGCTACACAAGTGAGCCGCCTCTCCGCTCCGCTTGCACCTCAACCTGTAGCATCTTGAAGCCCTTCGTGCTCCCGGCAATGCGGGGCGGTGAGGAGGGCAGAGCACAGATGGGCCGCAGGACCACCTTCAGGGCGGTTTTGCTAGGGAAGAGCCTGGGCTGAGATCAGGAGTGGCACTGTGGCTGCTGAGCCTCCTGCGTGCAATGCAGCAGCGTCACCAAGCCCCCTTCACCTGCCCTGCAGGATTCCTTCTGAGACAAAGCAATCGCTGCCCCACATGAAGTCCGGGAAGCCACTGCCATGTGTGCTGCCAGCCTGCTGACGTCGCTGGTGGCAGGAAGGTTACCTGCTGCTGTGCCTTAAAGAATCAGCGCTGAAGTGAGGCGTGCTTAATCCCTCAGGCGTTACTGCGCTCCTCCTGCATGTCACTGAGCGGTTCAACAAACTGCTGCTGCTGTCAGCTCAGCCAGCGCTGCTTTGAGTTCGTAGCTCACAGGGCAGGAGGACGAGAGCAGTGGGACACGTCTCAGGTGATGCAGGGCTGCTCCTTCCTCGCGCCAGTTTGAGGCTTGGGTTCCTTCTGTGCTGTGACGGAGACCGTGAGGCCACCTGCATTGACCCGAAGGAGCTTTGCGGGTTGCTTTTTGGGTTGGGGTTTTTTCTTCTCTCTGGTTTTGGGTTTCACTTGCAGAATTAGTGATGCTGGACCTGAGGCTTCTCTCAGCAAAGCTTTAACTGTTTGTTGCTCCCCCAGCCTCACTCCCAGGCGTTGCTGCTGTTGCATCAGGCAGATTAGGTTCACTGTGTGCTGTGGAGGCCCTTCTCTGCTTTTCAGAGGCTTATGTCTGATGGTGATGTTCTGGCAAGGCAGCCTAAGGGTGCTTTTCTTCTTGTGTGTGTGTTGAAAGTCCTGTTTGTTAATATGCAGAGTACTCTTACAAATATTCTCACTGGTTTTGGAAAACCAAAGTGTTGGAGAGAGAATCCAACTGTGCTGTAGGATGTGAAGCTGTGCTTAACCAACACTGAGCGCTCCTTGTGTCCCACGTCCCGATTCTCTGCTGTGTTCTTACAGCTAACATTAACAGGCTGTGCGTAAAGCTGACCCAGGCATCTCCTTGGTCTGTTTTGTAGATTTGACAGAGCTCCAACTGCATTTGCATACTGTCCTCAGGAGATCATTTCTTTGCAAAGCAAAAATCAGCTCATCTTCCTCAAAGCCAGTTGTATCCCGTCTTTGTTTTTTTTAACTGAGGAGTCATGGTAACACTCTTGTAAGTGATCCAAAGAGCTGTTCCAAGTGAAAATTTGAAAAATGGGGCTTTTGTCATAATTATGCAATGTAATAGCCAAGTTATGTGGTTAGATCTGTGAACTAAATGTGAATATATATGTATAGCCCCCATCCTTGGGGCTGCTGGAAGGTGCCAGGTGCCTCCATGCAGGCTGCACAACTGTAACCTGCTGTGCCTGTCTGGGTTTGGAGTCTGAGAGTGTTACTGGGTGGACAACGTGCCAAGCATCTGATGGCAGCCAGTCTTCATAAACACGGACGTTGAATGCAGAGCATATAGGTGGTGACATGGGCAGAAACTGCAGGAAACGTGAGGCAGCGCGGCTGCTTCTGCAATTCCCGGGAGCTGAGCAGGCTGTCCTGCAGCTCTAATGCAGTTCTGTGTGGTCTTGGGAAAGTGTCTCTGCCCCCCTGAGATGTGAGCAGTTGTATCTGGAGCACGTTGGACTCAGAAGAGATATTTACAGCTCCTGGGTTTGCTGGTGAAATGGCGTGCTTCAGCTTTAAGGAGGGGTCCTCGCTCAGCATCCAAAGTAATCAGGGGGGCAGGGCTGCACCGAGGAGCGCGTGGCGTTCTGTCAGCACTTGGGGTTAATATTGCTGCACTGACTGTGAATCTGGGGGCACCTGAGATCTCATTGTTGGCCATTAAATAAAACTCAGGTGTGACCAGAGAGCTTGGAGGAGAAAAAGCTCCGCTGTAGCTTTGGCAGAGCACTGAGGGTTTGCCTCCCTCGAGGGCAGGAGTGTTACAGCAGGGATGGCTGGGAGCATGGAGGGTGGCTCTTGGTGTCTTGTGGCGTCCCCTCCTGCGTTTCAGTGCAGGTTTAATTTCCAGCCAGACCAGAGGAGGTGTTGCTGCCTCCTAATTGACCTTCCTTAATGACCCACTTCCAAGAGGTGATGAGGCCTTTCCTCAGACCCCCCAGGCTGCAGTTTGCCTCCACATCACTCAGCCCAGCCCCCACAGCTCCTAGCATTCAATTAGAACTCAGAATCTTGCTGTGACAGTCAGCATTTGTGGTTATGTTGGCTGAATCAGGTTGGGGCATCTCTAGGGCTCGTGTGTCTGAGGCTCACAGCTTGAAGCCCTGAACTGCTGGTGATAAAGGTGCGTCTCTGGCAGGAGAACTGTCAGTTCCAGAAGCCAGTCTGACTGCAGGCTGCCTCTGACAGAGTTCTGGTTATGAAGAATGTTGTCAGCATTACTGGGATTCACAGTGTCGGTCTGTGCTGCTGCCGCTACGTAAGTGACAGATTCAGAATAGTGCATCAGCTTCAAAAATCAGTCGAAGGTTTGCCTGCTTTGCTGGTCTCTGCTGCACTGAGGTGGAGGGGTGCAGCCCGTGTGGCTCAGGGCTCTGCTGTGGGAACTGCACTCACATGGAGGCACAGCACAAGTGATGCACAGAGCTGCTCCAGTTTCCTCCCCTGAGCGATGAGGTGACTGTAGGGCGTTCCCTGCTGCTCTCGTGTCCCCCTCATTGTCCTGGATTTGGCCTTCTGGAATCCTCAGGTGTGAAGGGAAGGAGAGGCGAGCTGGGCTGGCGTCCAGGCTGTCCTGCAAAGCAGATCCCATTTGTGCAAAGTAACCGGATCGATGTTGGTGTGCGGACAGAGGATGAGGGTGGTACGTCCTGTGCGCTTCCAACGCTGAAATGATGCTTGTTTGAGGAATATAAGCAGCCCTATTTTTATCTTGTTTAGAAATTGAAAAAATTCAGAAGGGTGAAACAACAAAGAAGGATGAGGAAGAGAACTACCTGGATTTATTTTCTCACAAGAATATGAAACTGAAAGAACGAGTTCTGATCCCTGTCAAACAGTACCCCAAGGTGAGGGCCAGAAAACAGCTTCCTGAATCTCTGTGATTTGCTTGTTTTCTATGGATGTTATGGCAGAATGTTGGAGATAGTGGCTGTCAGTGTGTCAGCAGGAGTTACGCCAGGGTGCCGCTATCGCTGTGGAATTCTTCTGTGCAAGCTTGCAGGATCTCATTTCTAACATATTACATGCATTACATTTCTAGAATGTCTAGGGATAAAGCTAAATGGTGCTGTGTAGCTGTGATGTTTCTCTACAAGAATAGACTCATATGCAGAGCTCTGTGTTTTACAGTTAAGACCACACTTAACTCTTAAGACTGCCTGTAAATCTGCTAGAGAGTAGTAGTTAGAATTAAGCTCGTTTTCCGTGAGTTAATTTAGCTTGATTTGCTGGTGGAGCTTTTTAATTTGGAATTTAATTTTTCCTGTGTGTTTTTGGTCTAATTACTTTTGGTGTGACTAGATTTGTAATCCAGGTTAACATTAAGAGAAGCTTTCGTTAAGGTTGCGGAGTTTTGGGGCTAAATGTTTCTTTTTTATTTTCAGTTCAACTTTGTTGGAAAGATTTTGGGACCTCAAGGTAACACCATCAAGAGGCTTCAGGAAGAAACTGGTGCTAAGATCTCTGTGCTTGGGAAGGGTTCAATGCGAGATAAGGCAAAGGTAACGTCCCCCCCTTGGGACCATACACATGCATTAATGCCTTTCAATCTGATGTGAAAAGCAGATGTTCCCAAAGCATTGTATAAATCAGCACTGAAAAGCGAAGGCAGTAGGAAGTCACCTTTCTGAAATTGTGCTGTGCTTGCTGGGAGCATTCTCAATTGAGAGCACGCTGTGATGGATGCTTTCTCCATAAGTGATACTTGCAGAAACCCGTCATCTTCTGATGTACTGCACCTCAGGTGTACAGATAGCTTATATGGAAGGTGATGTACAAGGTCTTTAAAGTACGAACCAATTCTGCTGCTTGGTGAGCAGTCATTTGCTGAAGTCATACGTTTCCCCTTCAGAAAAACCCCAGCATTTCCCATTTCCAGCAGTCCCCTCCGAGGTCTGTAAATCCTCGTGCTTTACGGAACGCTCTGGAGCAGCGTGCTGCTGGTGATCCTTAGTGAATCACAGAGAGCCCGAAGGCTTTCTGGGCAGAAAAAAAATGGATTTTTTTTTATTTGCTTGCTCCTAAAATTGAGCTGACAATCAATCGGCGGGGCTGTAACTTCATTCCGCTTTTACTTCAGCAGCCTGAGAAGTTTTTACGCTCCAGTTTATTTATAGCTTCTTAAAGCCAGCTGAATAATGCAGGTATCCAAGAGCAGAATGAGAGCACGAGTGTTTGAGATGTCAGACTTCACTTCCACTGTGAGAACACCTGAGGCAGTAGGGGTGCAGAACAGCAGAACATCGCTTCCATGTGCTTAGTGGGAAAAGTTTCTGGCATCACCGCCTTCACACTGATATCACAGCCAGCTGGAAAGGCAGCTGTGAAAAGCTGGGGGTGTGGGCTTGCAGGTTGTGCTTGGGGCTTCTTGTAAAACTGCGTGCTCTGTGCATGGGATGTTAACGTGATCGATGTGATCAGACACAGCTGAAATGCCTTGTAAGCCTACTGAGGCTCGGGAAACAGGAAAAGAAAAGCAGTTTTGCTGCATCTTGTTCAGTTTTAGGACTCTCTGATACACTTTTTTTCAGGAGGAAGAGCTGCGTAAAGGGGGAGATCCTAAATATGCTCATCTAAATATGGATTTGCATGTCTTCATTGAAGTGTTTGGACCCCCTTGTGAAGCATATGCTCTGATGGCTCATGCCATGGAAGAAGTCAAGAAGTTCCTTGTCCCAGTATGTATACTGATGCTCTTTCCTTGTTTGAGGAGGTAGATGTGCAGTGTTCATCTCAAAGTGGTGCACAACAAACTTGGGATAGGTATTTCTTTCCACTATTAGCTGTGGACACAGGGGGTGGAGAACTTGTCCAGCTCCATATGTCAGTGTCAGCAGGTGAATAATGTCTGTGTCTGAATGTCTGAAGAGATTTCCATAGAATTGGTCAGGTCAGAAGCTCTGTACACAGAAGAGTTTGCTGTGACATGAGGGTGAGGAGGGTGGCTGCCCAGGAGCTTGGTGGTGGTGTGCTGGTGTTGTAGGCAGTTCTGAGACACAGCTGTTACACCAGTATTTCTGTGACCTCAAATTGGTGAGATGTGAAGGGACCTGTTCTTGCTACTGGGGCATTTACACAACTGACATTTCTTGTCCTTTTGGGGATTTCTGCTGGTGAAGTTTCTGAGACCTTCATGTTCAACTGGACGTTAGTCTTACAGAATGTAGCATAACAAAGCTAGAGCATCGCCCCTGGAATTGCAGAATGTGGAGGAGTCTCACATGCATTATTGAAATGGAGGTATTGCTCACCAAACTGGGAAGAAAACAAATTGGGGATGAAGCACGCAGTGCTCCCGGATTCTGGCTGGCCCAGCCTGTGATTCAGAGCCCGAGCAGGCAGGGAGCTGAGCGCAGCACCGTGCTGCATGGAGCTCGGCTGAGATGGAGAGCTCAGATGTTCTGTCTGAAACAAAAAGGGCGGGTGGAATCCAAGAGCTGCAGGTAGTGGGGAAGTGTGGCAGAGCTTGTGGTGGCTGGGTGGTTTCCGTCAGTCTGACACAGAGAGATGACTGTGTGAAGAGCTTGTTTGAAGGAAAGAGGTCATCTTCAGGGAGACCCTTGGATGTACAGAACTCTGCCTCGCTAAGGCGAGCGTGCAGCCTTGCTTTTTAAAGTGTCTGATCTATCGGTGCCTTCAAACAACGTGTTAAACTTGTGAAAACTGACAGAGCAGTCACTATGGAAGCCAGCAGCGCTGTGAAGACGCAGCTGGTAGGAGACTCCTTGCTTTGTGGAGTTGCCATGGCAGCACAAAGATCCCCTCTGTGCTCAGGGAGGGGCGGCCGAGGCCCTCTGACGGCTCATGGGGCTCAGGGGACTCGGCGCATTGCTGAAGCTGGATCCCCTGGGGAGATAGAAACGCACAAAGCAGAGGCGTTCTGTGTTTGTGAGACTGCAGAAGGCAGCCTGCATTTGCACACTGGTATTTACTCTTCTCCTGTTCCTTCAGCGTGTCAGGAGCACAGCAGTGTGCTGTTACCTTACGTGGGCTCGTTGCCACCTGCCTGCCTTTAAATAGAGGCGTAAGGTGCTTGAGGGGAGATATATCTTGCCTGACTTAACCTCTGAACTCTCCAACATTTGCAAATAAAACTTGCCAGTGTCCCTGGGGTGCTGAGTATCGGATGCCTCCAGAGCTCCCGCAAGCAGGTCCTCTCCCCAGGGAGCATCTGCAGCACACAGAGTGCTGTGCTCTTCTCAGCTGCTTTGGAGTAAGCTGGCACTCGTGTGCTGCTGTCTGCTGAGAAGATCCCGGGAAAACCAACCAGCAGGCTTTCATTGAGCACCGTTGGGTCATTTTTATTCTAGCACGGTGGCTTATGGTACCCTGGAGCAGAGGCTCTAGTTAGCTGCTCTTTGGAGCTGACTCTCTCCCCTCTTTAGGATATGATGGATGATATCTGTCAGGAGCAATTCTTGGAGCTCTCCTATCTGAACGGTGTACCAGAGCCAACTCGTGGCCGAGGAGGCCCTGTGCGGGGAAGGGGAGCAGCTCCACCACCGCCTCCACCTGTTCCAAGGTACCTTTCCCAAAAGCATGGACCTGGAAATGCTGCATCTTGCTCAGAGTGGTGCTGCGAGATCAGGTTAAGCTGCTTATTCTTGTACATCAGCTGTTGACTGTGACCTTGGCTTTTGGCCAAAGCTTTCTAGCCTTGTTTTGCAGGCTTCCTTTAGCAAGCTGACATCAAATATTCTGTATGTTTTGAGTTGCAGTAGTTATAGTTTTGCTCAATGGATGTTTTCTTTATTGTCTTTGCTGTCTGAAATCATTAGCATCACAAAATAGCCATTAAAAAAATGGAAAGGATAGCTAGAAAATTGTTTTTTAAAAAGAAAATCTGCCTGCAAAACCACGCGCAGATGTTTTGTGTTTGCTTCTACAACCTCCAGCAGAATACATATTTTCAGATTAAACCGACCTTCCTTTGAAAGTCACAGGGGGGTGTTACTCTGTCACTGCTGTCAAGGCGTTGAGATAAATTGGTGTAACACTGTTGCTGTGTTGCTTCGCGACATATTTCACAGGGGCAGCCTTCACTTCTGTCTGACCGTTCAGCCCAGCAATGTCCCCGCTCCCCTCAGCGGTGGTTTTACAGTGCTGAGGGGTGGCAGTCGCTGCTGGTCAGTGACAGAGGGCAGTAGGAAGGAGCTGAGAGGCGCCTCGGCTGACGTCCCGTGTTGGGTTTATCCCCGCGCAGCGCGTTATGCGCACTGTCCCCCATCCCATAAGAGGCTTTTTTTGAAGCGATGCAATCTTAACAATTCATTCTTGACCAACAATCCGTAGCTTAACGAACGGTAACCGAATTTACTTGTCGAGCGCTCGTGTCGTCAGGTTGCAGCTCACAGCCGTTCTCCTCTCCTTGCAGGGGGCGCGGTGTTGGGCCTCCCCCTCCGCCGCCTCCTCCCCGGGGGGCCCTGGTGCGAGGAGCCCCGGTGCGGGGTGCCATTGCCAGGGGAGCAGCTGTAGCCCGTGGAGTTCCGCCCCCCCCAGCAGTGCGGGGAGCTCCTGCCCCCAGAGCGCGTGCGGCCGGCATCCAGCGGATACCGCTTCCTCCTCCTCCAGCACCAGAAACCTACGAGGAATACGTAAGGAGCCGCCTGCCGTCGGGTGTCATTCCTGCTAGCTGGGCACGTGTCAGTTATTGGACGCTGTGGATGTAAAGGCTGCACCGCGAGCGCTGCACCAAGCAGTGAGCAGTAGTGCAAACGCTGGTATGGTGCTGGGCGGCCTGCGCTGCCTGCTTCCCAAGGAGCTGCTGGTGTCGTGAATAGCGTAAAGCTGAAATGGGCCCAGCAGCATTTTGGGGAGCCGTCACAGATAAGGCAACTTGAAAAATCCCGCTCTTCGTCCCAGTAAAACTTGTGGTGTTTTTTTGGCTGTCTGTGAATCTGTGTATTGGGTATCACAGTTACAGACTTCCCAGTGCGTGGGTTTGTACTGTAGACAAGCTGTAGCCTTGGACATGTAAGTCACTTTCTAATCCACTCATTGTAAAGATCAGTGTGGTTCATTCCTCGCACACAAGCAGTTTTTAGTTGCCCACTCGTGTTTTCTGCTCAGTCCCTTCCCTGTGGCAGGCAGGGACTCATGAGCTGCTCCAAAAACTGCTGTAACCTGAATTCACTTCTGCTGCTACCTTTGGTCAGTCGTTAACCTTCCATCTTTCCGTTGATGCCATTTGTGTCATCTGTTTCAGGGTTACGATGATGCATATGCAGACCAGAGCTATGAGGGCTATGAAGGCTACTACAGCCAGGGCCAAGGGTAAGTCTCCACCGGTTACTGGGAAAATTATGCATGATCTTTTTTTCTTTTAAGAGAACAGAAACACTTATTTCTGCGTGTGAGCTGTAGGGAAAGTGCCCTCTTCTGCTACAATCCTGGAGTCCCTGGGAAATAACTTTTGGGAGTGTCCCAGTTCGAAGCAACGAACGCCACCACAGCACAAAGAGCAAAAATGCTCACAGAGGTGTTTGTGAGGTTGTGTCAGCTCAGGAATACCATTTCTGCACTGTGTGTAACCAGCATGATTACTCTTCCAGGGACACAGAATACTATGATTATGGACACGGGGAGGCACAGGAAACCTATGAAGCTTATGGTATGTCTGGGAATCCTGTTTTTCTGTAGGGAAGGGGCTGCACGTAGCTGGGAGTTGCCTGCACATAGCAGCTGTGTGTGGTTGGGAATTGCTTGTAGTCGGTCAGCTGTTCTCCAGTGCTGCTCCACACTCTGAGCAGAAACTTCTGACACTGAGGAGGACCTCAAATAGTTTTCATGGCAGAACTTCTTTACTCTACACATTACCCAGATCAGAGCAACTGAAGGCATTATGTGTTTTTTTAGATTCTTATGTAGCTCGATTGTCTCAAAGGTGATGAAAAATTCCATTTTTAACTGTGGAAATATCTTTCCATTTCCTGGTAGCTTTAGAGTATTTTAAGAGCTATGGATTTCCACCCACAGCACTGCTTTTGCTGCAGTCTGGTTTCATGAATTATATTTTGTTGAGCTGCGTGAATGCGTGGCTCCATCTGCTTCCTTATCCTCCAAACCCTTCCAGCTGACTGCACTACACGTTGGCTTTAAAAATGGTTTTAAATGTCATATTAAGGCCTGTTCCTTGACTAGCTGGAAAAATGTTCTTTGCTATGACTTGCAGGTAGTCTGTGAAGTTTGGCTAATGTGCATTACCTGAGGCCATCAACTTAGGCTAGACTGAGGAGTGTGGGAGGCCAATTTAAGCACAGCAATGTAAATCACAGACTGTCGAAAGCCATAGGCCTTCTGAGGTGCAGGCAATAAAGGATTAGGTGACTGCGTTGTTTTTTAAGCTAGTTCAGATATCTGAGCTTATGAGTGGCATCTGCATATGGCGAGAAGGAGGACTCGTTTTCCTTTCTCTGTAAGCAGCAAAAGGCTCTCAGTGAGCTGCTCAGTGGTGTGGAAATATGCAGGATGGAAGGCAGTGCCTGCAGCAAAGCTTCCATCAGTCGCCTGAGGCTGTGAGCAAACTGAGCCAGCAATGGTAATGACCATCAGTCTTTGCACAGAGAGGCTTCTGGTGTTCTCAGAAGCAGGGAATCCCTCCTCCCTGCTGTTGTTGGGAGCTGTGAGCAAAGCCAGACCTGCCTCTGGGTGTGCCCTGGGCGTGAGCTGTGAGAAGGGCAAATTCAGGTGCTTATCAGGGCTGCTTTTCCAGTCTGAGGTGGGTGTGAATAGACAGCTGCTGTCAGCAGTGCTGGGTATCTCCGTGCCTCTGTGCAGAATGGCTCTGGGATGGCTTGGGTTGCTGCCTGTGTCAGTCGTGCAGCACAAAGAGGCTTTTGTGCCTCCTGCTTGGTAGGAGAGCGGTGTTGTCTGGGGTCTGAAGGCCAAAACGCTCGTTGCACACTTGGCATGAAGTTGCCACAGTTAATCTGTTTATCCGCAGTAATTTCCTTTGGTCTCTGCTTTCATGAAAACAAAATCAGAAGAATAAATTGTCGAGCCAGGCTGGAGACTTGTGAGAATCAGAGCATGTTCCATGGCAGCAGGAATAGCGGCCGGCTGGCCTCGGGGTCCAGGAGGTTGCTTTGCTGAAGTGGGGACTGCAGAGAGCAGCAGGCACAGCAGTATGGGTGCTGCAAGCACCGAACGGAAAGCTGAGCTCAGTTGTTTGGGGCGTGAAGCAGCTCAGGAACAGCGGGGAGCAAACTCTGCTTCAGTGGCAGTTGTGCACGGCAGCAGTTTGTGGCTGTCCTGCCTGTGTGTTGTCCCAGCGGTGCTGGTGCAGTGCTGGAATGCAGGTCTGCAGCCCAGCAGATGCTGCACGGCTGCAAATGGCCCCTGGTGTGGATGTGTTGGGGCACAGGAGCGGCCCGGCCTGGTGCTCCGCGAGGAGGAACGCGACCTGCAGCCGTGTTGGGCCTGGAGGTCGGCGCTGATGGCTGAGGCTGCGATGTGGGCCTGCGTGGGGCTGGCTGCCACGGCCGCCTTGAGAGCTGGCTGCAGCGCTGCTGAAATTGCTCATCAAAGGCACTGGGTTTGTCCAAGCCTGGGCTGAGCGGGGAATCCCTGCCAGCAGCTTTTCCCAAGGCCAGCGGCGTCCTGCAGAGATTCCTGTAGCACTGGGGGGCGAGGGCTGCAGCACAGCGGCCTGTCGGGGCCGCGCCGGGCCCTGAGCGCGCTGCTCGCTGCCGGCGTTGATCTGTCGCTCTCTCTTCCGCAGGCCAAGATGACTGGAACGGCACCAGGCCCTCCCTGAAGGCCCCCCCAGCCCGGCCGGTGAAGGGCGCCTACAGGGAGCACCCATACGGACGTTACTAAAAACAAAATGAGGGAAAAATAGCAGTTATGAGCAAACAGTTGTTACTGATTCTTGTATCTCCCAGGATTCCTGTTGCTTTGCCCACACCAGACAAGTAATTGTCTAACTGTTTTTCTTCGTGGCCCTTTTTCTCCCACTCCATCCTCACCCTGCATTCTGGCTTCTGTACGTAGTATTTTAAAATGAGTTAAATAGACGTAGAGCACCAGTTTTAATTTTTTTTTTTTTTGAGTGTGTAGATGGCTTTTCTTTCTTTGTTGTTTAGATAAATAAAACTGTACCTTTTTCATAAAAGAAAAGAAGTTTAAAATGTTAGTTTCAAAAGTGACATGCTTGCTTAGCAGATATGAAACTAAGGTTTTGTTAACCTTTAAGTTCGGTTTTAAGAAACCCATAAAAGTTGTAGTTGCAGAATCCCAAAGTAGGCTACATTTCAAAATTCAGGGCTGTTTTTAAGAATTAAAATCATAATGTAACGGTAGTGGTTGCCACCGTTTAGAAGTAACCTCAGACGTCAAACTGTCCTTAAAAGCAGATTGCTGGTGAATCTTAAGTTTAAAATTTAACATGAAGGATCCTCAAGCAAATTAAATAGCATTTTTTTAAAAGGTAATTGATCTAAAAGAAAAAAAAACCAAAAAATTAGGTTTGTAAAATTGACTTTCACGACGTGGGTTTTGAAATCTAGCCCCAAACGTGCGGTGTTGAGAGATGCTTGGGAAGTGATGTCCCACTGCCAGGGCTCCGTGGTTCGGTCCTGCATGGAGAACTTACGAGAGGGAAACAAATTAAAGCACGGCTCTAATTGCCCAGCGTTTGGTATTAGAAAACAGAGCATTCAGTGACTAGGTCTGAATTCTATAAAATTACAGTCTTCTCATTTTTCTAGCATTGGTGGCGCATAATACAGTGCAAGCTTAAAACTGACCAAATGATCAGTATTAGCAACCCCATTGACTTGTTCAAGTGCATCTCAACACTAGCTCTGCATAAAAAGGGACGCTGCAGCTGAAAAAATGAGGAAAATTTTCACTCTGTACATAGGTTAAAGTCCTAATGGGATTTGTACATGGTCCTCCCACTGTTCTGGAAGATTAAATGCTACATGTGTAAGTCTGCCTAAATAGGTAGCTAAAACTTGTCAACATGTCTGCCGCAGTTTGTCAATAAAGTTTAGTCCTTTTTTAATCAAAGTAAATGTGATGAATTGTCATTTTTTTGTTGAGCAGTAAAATAGCTGTTCTTTTTCTTTTTCAAATAATTTTAAATTAATGCTAAAGCTAATTGTCTTTTTAAAATATGGAGGCATTCTAAAAGTGGTGTTTTTTTGCAATTCTTACCAAAAGTTGATCAAGTTCATCGAACAAGCTTAATTTAAAGGGGAAAAAAAAAAAAAAAAAGGGAAAATCTTGTTTTTCACCCCCTGGAAGTTCTTTGAAAGCAGTTTGATCCTGGACTGTGGCAGCAAGCTGACTTGTGTCTGCTGAAAAGGGGCTCTGCTGAATTACTGATTCAGATTGCAGGTGGCCTCAGAGCAAGGCAGGCTGCAGGCTCCAGGCTGAGGCTGAGATGGCTGCTGTAAAGTAACGTGACAAGTGCTGAGAAAGCCGAGGAGGAGGGAGCTTGCTTTCTGTGCACCTAACGGCCCTGACCCACTTGGCCGGGACGATGCCCCTCCGACTCGCAGGCAGCCTTTACTGGGACAGCCTTACAAACGTCCCCCTTTGAGGAGGGTGCTGCAGTTGCTCCTTGTATCCAACCCGAGGGTCTGCGTGTATTTCTGTGCACACACCTACAAACGTTGAAACCTGCTCAGAGAGACTGACAAACTGTGCTGCCCAGCGCAAAGCGATCTGGCATCGTAGGGGGAGAGAACAAAACTGCTCGGGGGTGAAAAATAGAGCATCAGGAAGCAGGCTGCTCGTAGCAGTGCATGACTGAGGGGAGTACTTTAAAACAAACAGTTGTGTTTGTAGATTGTTATTAAAGTGCAAATAACTGAATTTTCAACAATGGTTTGGAGTCAGCTTTCAGGGCATAATGTCTTGCTTGATGAAAAGATCACCCTATGCCCCCCTTTTAAAGGAAAATTATCGCAGGAGAATCAGGATGTGTAAAGCTAACATGCATCGCAAAACCCAAAAGGTAACCTAAATGTCTGATTTTAATAGCACATTTCTCTTTTACATAAACCGTGACGGCAACTTGCATAAACTTTATTGAGACGATTCTTCAAGTGTTAATTTTAATGTAAAAAAATTTGCACACAAAAAAATGTTTAAAATAAACATTAAAAAAAAAAAAAACAGCAACCGACCAACCACGTGGTAATGCATAATTAGCAATAACTTTAATACCGTGCCCTTTGAAAATGCACTGTAATGGAATGTGGGCAAAAGGGAATCGGCAAGCTTAAGTATCAAAAGATGTAAAGTGACAACGATGTAGATAGTGCTGCTACTGCCAAAACATTCTGCTCAGTTGTTTCAAAACGTAAAGCGATGGCCCTTTGTAGACCCCACTATTGATACCGGCTGTGAAATGCTCCAAGCTCAGCTTAAGTTGCATGTTTTCCTTCCTGTGTAATTGCATGCAGGACTCTGTTCTGTTGGCTTGTGCTCACGTTGAGGAGACTGACGGATGCCTTCAATTTGCAGGAGCGCGGAGCGGCGGACGAGGGCTGAAGGCGAGGAGGGGCAGCGCTCATTGGGTGAGTCTGTCTGCTTATTTTTGCAACTTGCAGCAAGCTGTGAACACGTTCGTGTGGGCAGAGAGGGCGGCACCATCTGAGCTGTTACATTGGAGCCGTTCTTCACATACCCACAAATAAATCGGTGCTGCCGAAGGCCGGCTCCAGCAGTGAGGCTCCTGCAGAGGTCGTGGTGCGGAGGAGGCTTTGCTGGGTGCATGCTTACAGCTCTCCCGGCGAGATCCTGTGGAGAAGGAGGCTTAGTGGGTTTGAGGAGAGGGGATTGGGATACGATCTGTTTCCCGGGGCTGGTGCCTGGCTGAGATGCTGGCTTTCATGTGAGCGCCCGCAGCTGCAGGGTAGCACTGAAGTTGTTGTTACCCCGTGCTCTAGGATCAGAGCGGTCCAAGCAGGAATCTGTAGAGATGCAATGGCATCATAGAAGCACGGGATGGTTGGGTTGGAAGGGACCTTACAGTCCACGCAGTCCCAACCCCTGCTGTGGACTGGCTGCCCCCAGCTCAGGCTGCTCAGGGCTCCTCCAGGGATGGGGCACCCGCAGCTCTGGGCAGAACCACTGGGTCTCGCAGCCCTCTGGGGAGAGAATTTCATCCTCACATCTCACCGAAATCTCCCCTCCTTAAAGCCTTTCCCTCTTGTCGTGTTGCTGTCAGACCATATAAACAGTCGCGCTCTCTCCCCGCTTTATAAGCTCCCGGGTGCCGTGCGCCGGTCAGCCGGCGTTCCTGGGTTGGGACGAGCGCAGCTCGGAGCTCTGGGCTGGAGGAGCCCCGCTCCCTGGTGCTGCTCAGCAGCGGCGGTGGTGGGGCTCCCTCTGGTGGCTGCAGCGGCCGCAGTGAAATATTTGCTCTGCAGCCGCCTTCACGGCGCGGCACGTGCTTGCGGACCGTGCGGGCTGTGCCTGGGGACGCTGAGCTCCGGCGTCACGCGGCGCTGACCTGGGCGCGCAGCAAGGACGCGTCTCCCCTGCGGCCCCGAAGGCAGCAGCCCCGAGCGCGTCCCCTGGGGGCGGCTAATTGGCTTCTCTCGTATCTTGAGATCGCTGGAAGCCTGAGCTCCAGAAATCAGAGAACAAAGAAATAAGCCTTTGTGCTGCTGGAGGAGTGTAACGGCTTCAAAAGACTGCTGCGCAAAGCCCCGGGAGCGGGACGTGGAAGGACATGAGACTGATTTTATATGGAAATGCAGAGCTACCCAACGAGCTTCTCTTAAGAGCGTTAGGAACGAGAAGATGGTTATATGTGGAAATGGTGCAGCACAATGAGATTAGCCTCAATCCTTTGCCTTTAACTTGAAAATTGGAGCCGTAATTCTGTTAGGGAAAGACGTCGCATCTGGAATTCGGGGGGCTGTTTGTGTAATGCATCTCCATTACAACGTAACTGAAACATCAGTTCATGCGCTGGTGTTCCAGTCTTTGCCATTTCTTTCTTAATAGGCACAACTTTTATATCAAATGGAAAAGATTTGATAGAGATCATCTATTATGATGCAGTTTTTTACCAGTAGGATCTTGTGGCACCGCCTTTGGAGTTGTACAGCTTGCTTGTGCATCACATTTATTGCATGTTTATGTGAAAATGTTGAATGTTATGGGGGAATGTAAATCTTAATATATTGAAAATAACTGCATACGCTAAAAATATTTCAAAAACATGTTCTGCATCAGATAGCTTCCTCCCTCTCAAAGCATCGCTCCACGCAGATTGTAGCCGAGAGTCTGCAGAAGCTAATTGGAGATCCCAGAATAGCCGTCAGCATCGGATGTGTCTTTGAGATGCTGTAATGAGCCACGGTCCGGGGTGATGCAGGGCTCACAGAAATATGTGAGGGTGGAGATTCCTCGGAGTGCTGGAGGCCGAGTCACCCAGTAACCTCCCCTTTTCTGCTCACAGCCGCTGGAGATGGCACTGGTTCTGCTGGCTGTTAGCAAACGAGTGCAGATGACATTTCACCTCTGGACTTGTCCGTAGAACTAATCTCATTGTTTGTGGGATGGTGGCCAAGTCCATACACAAGATAAAAGCCCGCACAGCGTGGTGTCCAGCAGCAGTCACATCTCCCTGTGGAAGTGTTTCCCAGCAGTGCTGTTTGTAGGCTTGGCTTTAGGACACCCTCTGCTACAGAGCTCTCCCTGCTCAGCAGTCCATCTTCTCTGGCTCCTGCTCTGGGAGGCTGCTGCTGCTTCAGCCTCTGGTCCAGCATTTGGTACTCAGGCTGCCTTGCTTGGAGCCGTTACACAGCTGGACTCTGTCCTCCTTCAGTGGGAAGTCACCACGTGTCGTGGTTCCCAGCATCGAGCAGCAGCTGAGCTCCAGCTGGGACTGCAGAGATGTCCCGAGCAGTTCTTCCTGGAAGGAGACTGTTGTACTGCGTGTATTCCTTACCCCTGGTTTCAAGTTGCTGTTTAGATTATTAGATAAAGCAAATGACTGCGAGCTTTATTTCATAATTTATTGATGGTAATTTTTATTTAGCATGGCCCTCTGTAAAACTCCATCTTTGGCAAGTTGGATCCAGCTGAGGTTTAGGAGCACAGCTGCATTCCTTGCTTGGCTCTTAGAGCAGATGATTCCTCTTGTACAGAATGAGTTTTCAAATTTGTATGAGAGCATCTGTCACGGACAGAGCCAAGAAAAGCAATTGAGATGTGCACCTCTTCCTCCCTGCCCCACACCGCTGCTCCTGAAGGGCCCACGTGGGCAGGGGGCAGCTGGCACAGACCCAGGGGGGGGCAGCAGCTGTGCCTGCCTGCAGGGAGCTGAGCAGAGCAGGAGGTGCCGTTAGCACAGCCCTGCCGTGAGGGCTGTGAGTGCAGATGGTGCTTGTGGGGAGTGTGGCACAGCTTAGGGAAATCCTGCCTTAACTGAGAAACCTGCAGCCTCCCGGGCGAGATGTTGGACACCAGCCCTGTTGGTGAGCTTTGAGGGGGAGGAATTTCTGCAGCCGGTTGGTGCCTGTGGGGAACTGCCGTCTCCAATGTAGATCTTATTCCTCTTCTCAGGAAGCTCAGATCCCCAGAGCACAGAGCAGAACCCTTTGCTGTCGTTGCTCAGCTGAGCCATATGTTCCAATAGAAATGTTTGTTTCCACGCTCACTTTGCTCCTTTTGAGATGCGGGACGGAGATGGGATGCGTTGCTTTCAGATGACGAAGGAATGCAGTCCGGGAGCCCTTTGCTTTACTGCAAGGTGGAAGCAGCCGGCTCTGCTGAACGGCGGAGCTCCTTCAGCCACCTCCAGAGCTGGAGAGAGGCAGCATCGAAGCACGGCCTTCCCCATGGAGCTGTTACTGCTGCCTCTGGAACCCAGCACGAGCGAAAGCCTGCAGCGTTCCACCCTGCCCTGCTGCTGTGGAGCGCCGGTGCTGCTGCCGGGCTGGAGGACCTGGTTCTGCTGCCGCTGCCGGGATGCTGCTGGGCTTCGGTGGCTGCACAGATTCCAAAACCAATAAGGAAGAGAAGATTGGTCCATGAAAGGCCGTTAATTTTGGAAGTGGCTTTGCCTGCAGCCTGGGCAGGGTTGTGCACTGCTCCATCTGAACCACAGCCTGAGCCGCCCCGAGTTGGGGAACTCAGTGCAAAGCGCTGCAGTGGCTCCATCCAGCGCTGATGGAGGTCAATGTTGGCCGAGGTGAATGGTGGCGTTAAGCTGGTTGTGCGGGAAGCTGGCACGGTGCGACACAGCTGGCGTTCAGCTGATGCTGGAAATGATTTGTCATTCTTAATAAAGATTGAACGCGGACCTTTTGGCTTCCAAACGCGTGCGGTGGTGCCGTTTGTCGGGGCTGTTATTAAGGAGAGTGGGGCAGGGCGGGTGGCGGGGGGCTCAGGACAGCGGAGGTTCCCTACGGGTTTCTCAGCGCCCTGACAGCGCGGTGTCACCGCAGGGATGGGGCGGCGGACGCGCGGCTCCTCAGTGCCGGGGTCCCGCATCTCCGCTCCGCTTCCCGCGCGGCTCCCGAATGAACGGCGGGGCGGGGCGGAGGGCGGGGCCAGGACGGAGGGGGGGGGGGGCTGGGGGGGGCGGGGCGCACGGCGCGGGCCCGAGGAGGATTGTCCGCTAACGGCCGCCGTCCGTCCGGCCCCGCCCGCCATATTGCGCCCCGGCACGGGCCGAACGGCGGCCGGAGATGGGTGAGGGCGGGCGCGGGCAGCGGGACGGGGCGGAGCGGGGCGGAGCGGAGCGGCGGGGACCGGGACGGGCGGAGGGAGCGGCGGCCGAGCTGGGGGCGAGGAGAGGGCCGAGGCGGGCGGGGCCGAGAGGCGCCGTCAGCCCCGCCCACACGCGCTGAGGGGCGGCTCCGCGCCGGGCCCGGGCCGATCCGCGCTCCTCCGGGCCGATCCGCGCTGCCCGCGGCCCCCTGGCCTCCGCTCTGCACGGCGCGGCTCCCGAGCTCCGCGGCCCTTGGGACCTCCGCGACCCGCGGTGCTGCTGGCCCTGCGCCCTTGGTGCCCCTCGTTGCCGTGGTGGGCGTGGGGCGGTGGGCGCGGTGCCCCCGCTGACACCCTCCGAGCTGCAGCCGCACGGCGCGTTTCGTGCAGCCTCGCACCGTCGGCTGCGGCCCCGGCGATGCCCCAAACGCGCTTCGGCTGCTTCTTTTCCCACCTTGCAGAAGGAGAAAACGATTTCCGTGCTTTTGTGGCACCGCTCTCAAGAGCTGCGGGTGTCCCACGCAAACACAGAACTGCACGAAGGTGCCCCCAGTGCACCGAGTCCTTTGGGCGCATTGAGTACAGGCCTGGAAGCAGTGGGGTAACACTGCAGCAGGGCTGCGCTCCTTGGGATGCGTTCCTGGGTTGGGGTGCAGGGAGCTGCTCCCTGCTGCTCACACTGAGCTTCAGCACCGCGGTGAGAAGGGCTGAGCAGAGCTGCTTCCCTGCGGGTGAGCCTCGCTCATAAACTTTCTCTTTCCAGTTTTAAGGACTGAAGGCGTAACAGTGCAGTGAGCAACCAAGAAGCCGCCCCAAAGAACAGCCCTCCGCAGCCTCTGTTGTTATGGCAGGGGGAAGGCGGGGCCCCAACCGCACCTCCTACTGCCGAAATCCCCTCTGTGAGCCCGGGGCTGCTGGCGGCTCCGGCCACTCCACGAGTTCCTCTGTCACAGGCGTTCGCTCCCGCACCAGGTACGGCCCGACCCGAGGCAGCCGTGAGGTCGCCTGTGCCTCCTGTCTCACACACAGCTCAGCTGCCCTGCAGCTCAGGGATTCGTTAACTCCTGTGTGCAGCAGCGTCTGTGCTGCGCGTTCCACTCGGAATAGGTGGGTTCTGCTGTGCTCAAGTGCTTTGTCAGACCTCGGCAGGCTTCCAGGAGTGTTCAAAAGCATGTAGGGGTCAACTGGGGAAAGAGAACAGATCACGGTGCATCCAGCGCCTGTCTGTGGAGTTCTGGTTGTTGTGTCTCCTGTGCCAGGTGAGGTGTTTCTAGGGTAGAGATCAGCTCCTCAGATGTTGTATAGGCTGCGTTTCAGGTTTTTTTCCAGGTTCTAGCCTGACTGGTTTGTTGCCTTTCTGCTTCTGAGGTAGAGAGGTGGAAAGAGAAGCTCTGTGCCAGCAGAAATACATGAGCAGGAGGTACCTTATGAACTGTCTGCTTAGCAAATGTTAGACCCGTTTTAACCTACTCCCTGCTGGTGAGCTTAGGCCAAGGAATGCACATGGATACAGTTATTCAAACAAGTTACTGCAAGGCCACCGAAAGTGGAGCAATCCACCGAGTGCCTGCACCACTGTGAGCGTGCACAAAGGTCCTTATCGCTGAGTAGGTAATGAAGTCCCAAGCCACACCCCAACTAATTAGTCTGTGCAGCCTTATGCTCTTAGAACCTATGAGAGCTGTTCTGTTGTGGTAGGTAGTGCTGCTGCTCTCGCAGAATCAGCCTTTGGTTTTGTGTGGCTGCTCAGGGTTGAAGAGGCTTCGTGTCTGTAGTTAGAGAGGATTTGGAGCAGGAGCAGCTGCTCTGAGTTATTGGCAGATTCCTCAGTCCTGAGGAGCCGAATCAGTCTTGTCAAGTTGGGATCCAGCACTTTTGGAGACACAGCTGAGGTTCCTGAAGTTGTCCTCACACACTTGTTTTATGCTCTCAGCCTTCTGACTCAAACAAACAGCAGGGCCTGTGCTAACCCTGTGCCAGAAGTCTTTCTGCAGTCACACTGACACGACCAGGATTTCTTTATGGGGTTTTCAGCAGGAGATTGGCACCTTGTGCTCTGTGGTTCCTTTGAACCCACACCCAGATTCCTGTGAGTGCTGTTATGTAGAGGTTGCAAATCAGGAGAGATGCATCTGGTGCATGTTAGTTCCCTTCCCTTTGATTGAAGGAGCTGGTGTCTGGAACTGTGTGCATGCTCACACAGGAATATGCACCTCTGACGAAACTTGTTTTTCCTCCACAGTTGTGGAATAGAAGTTAAAGAATGAGAAAGGGCTCGCGTTTAATTGCTCTGTATTTCATGTTCAAGCACTCTCAGAAATGTAAATGGCAACTCAAGGTCTGAACACTTGCAGTTAATTCAATGGCTACCGATTGCCCGTTGCACAGCACAGCCGTGGCTTTCCAACCCCACTCTCTACGAAGGCTTTAATGTGGAATGAGCCGATGCTGCAGGCTGGCCTGGCTCCAAATATTGCTTTCCCTGGGGAGATTCCCGCTCTCCCTGCGCTGCAGCGATGGTTTGCAAATCCTCGGGGTGCTGACCTCTGTAGTTTGTGGCAGCCATTGACCCAGCACAGCTTCCTCAGCCAGCGTTGGGCCCAGCTGCTTCTGCAGGAGGGCAGTGCTGGGGCTCCTGCAGTGACTGCTGCCTCCTGTTTCCTCGTAGGAGCGGTTCAGGTACGGGGCTTTCCAGCCCACCTCTGGCAACTCAGGCAGTCGTTCCCCTGCGGCACTGTAAGATCCCAGAGCTGCCCGTGGAGAGGAGCGTGCTGTTTGAGCTCCAGCTCTTCTTCTGTCATCTCGTTGCTCTGTTTGTCCACTACATCAACATCTACAAAACCGTGTGGTGGTACCCGCCGTCCCACCCGCCCTCACACACGTCTTTGGTAAGCTGCTGCCTGCTGCTGCTTGCAGCTCTGTGGGGTTGCGAGGCGTGAATGTTTCTGTCTCTGCTTTGTGCAAACTGCACGTGGCTCCGCAGCCTGCGAGGTTCTGCTCTCGTGGCTTTCAGCTGGCAAACCTGGGGCGCTGGCTGGCTGCTGGCGTTCTCTTCCTGATCTTGGAAGAGAGAGTGCAAAGAGAAAAGAGGACCTTGGGAGCTTCTCTGCTTGATGTGGATTTCTGCTGCCTGGTGGAAAGTGAAACCATTTTCTTCTTGTCACTGCAGAATTTCCATCTTATTGACTTCAACGTGCTGACAGTGACAACCATCGTCCTGGCGCGCCGCTTGATTGTTGCTATTGTGAAGGAGGTAAAGTCTGATGCACATCTCAGAACCGTTCTTTCCTCGTGGGCAGAACGTGAAGCTCTGTGTCCCTTTCCCAAAGAATGTCAGGCTGCGTCTAAGCCAGAAACGAGGGCATGTTTTCTAATGGGAAGAACAGGAGTGAGCACCTCACATCACTGCTCTCACTGCCCTTCTGTGATCATTTCTGAGTTGCTCTCTCAATGAGGCTGCTCAGCAAGCCCAGCTTCTGCTCGAGTCCTTGCAAAGAACCAGGTTGGGCTCTTGTTCTCTTAATGACTGCAGCTTTCTGCAAGGAGGAGCTGCTGTGGTTTGGCTTCTGCTGACTGCAGAGCTGCGCTGTGCTGAGCGGGATGGTGGCGCAGATGAGCGTTTTGGTGGGGTCACACGAAGCCTTTCCCTTCACCCTTCCTTCATGCATACGAGACTGACTGCACAGAGTGCTGCCACCTGCGTGCTTCTGGAGGAGCACTGGATGCCTCCCTTCTGCCCTGTTCTTTCTGCTCTCCCTGCAGGCTTCCCAGAGTGGCAAAGTCTCCCTGCCGCGCTCCGTGTTCCTGGTGGTCACTCGCTTTGCTGTTCTCACTGGCACAGGCTGGAGTTTGTGCCGATCGATCATCCACCTCTTCAGAACCTACTCCTTCCTCAATCTCCTGTTCCTGTGTTACCCGTAAGCATCTCTTCTGACGTTTGTGTGTGGATTCTGATGTTGCCTCAGTGGCTGGGCGTTGCTCAGGTGACACAAAGCTTGGGTGTAGAGAAGCACTTGATGACAGGATAACAGAACTTTTCAGAGCCCTTTTCCCTCCTGTCACATTTCTGCTTGGTTCCAGGCTTATCTTTCCCACTCAGCCGTATTTCAGGTTCAATACAAGCATTAATTACAGTTCTTAGGTTGCTCGTGTCACGTGAAAAGGGTTGTCTGGTTTCCTCTTGGCGTTCCAGCCCACTCCTTCAGTTTGCCTTAGTCCTTAGGTGCCTCTGCCAGGTGGAGAGGATCAAGCAGCTTCCCTGCTTTGTGTTAACCAGCAGAAGAAAGCCAGTTGAATTACCCATCAGTTTGTGGAGTTGATCCCTTCCCTCTGGTAGATGCAAGAGGAAAGATAATCTCACATAATCTCTCATAAAGATGTGAGATTCGGTGCTGCTGTGGGTAAGGCTGCCCTGGGTTGTACCCAGGTTGAGCTGTATTGGTGAGCTGTTATCTGGACCCACGTGGGCACTCGTGTGATGGGATGGGCTGCAGCCCTCGTGCTGGTGGCAGTGTGGTCGTGCTGGCTGCAGCACTCAGGCTTTGCAGGAACTGAGCGCCCTTCTGCCTGTGCTGCCGCAGGTTTGGCATGT